TTAGTCGCGAACGCTTGTATGATGGAAAAAGAGAAAGATCGAAAAAGAATGAAAAAGGAAGGTAAAGGAAAGAAAAACATAATAAAGAAAGAAAGTTTGAAAAAGAAAGAAAAAGAAAAAAGAAGGAAAAGGAAAGAAAAACAAAAGAAAGAAAGAAAGAAAGAAAGAAGGAAAGATCGAAAAAGAAAGAAAAAGAAAGAAAAACAATAAAGAAAGAAAGAAAGAAGGAAGGAAAGATCTAAAAGGAAAGAAAAAGAAAGAAAAAGGAAGGAAAATGAAAGAAAAACAAAAGAAAGAAAGAAGGAAGGAAGGAAAGATCTAAAACGAAAGAAAAGAAAAGGAAAAGGAAAGAAAAATAAAAGAAAGAAAGATCGAAAAAGAAAGAAAAAGGAAAGAAAAACAAAAGAAAGAAGGAAGGAAAGATCTAAAAAGAAAAAGAAAAAAAGATAGAAAAAGGATGGAAAAGGAAAGAAAAACAAAAGAAAGAATGAAAGATAGTAAGAAATATTGAAAAAGAAAGAAAAAGAAAGGAATAGAAAAACAAAAGAAAGTAAGAAAAAGGAAAGAAAAAGAAAGAAAGAAAGAAAGAAAGAAAAAAGAGAAAGGAAAAAAAAGAAAAGAAAAACAAAAGAAAAAGAAAGAAAGAAAGAAGGGAGGTAAAAGTATCAAAAGCGCAAAGGTAATAAAAATGAATTATTTGTGAGGTACACAGAAAGTTTAAGTGCCAATTAAAGCAATAACATTTTCATCTTGTACATAATTAAATCTTACGGTGCGATTTGCTTCCCGTCAGTTGTTATTACACCCAGTTGCTTAGCGACGAAATCATTGTGGGCGGGAATACGTGCAAAGGTGCGTACAGAGAAGCAATTACATGCTGAATTGTATTTTGTCCTTCTTTACTATTTTTTTTTTCTTTTCAACATAGTTTTATATCATACCTGAACAAAGCGTTACTCAAATAAAGACATTAGTAGTTCAAAGGTACATTTTTAAATAGTGACAACAAGGAAGATATTTGAGTCATTACAAAGAACGCTATAAATTCTTCAAAAAGCCTCACGGTTTCTTTACACATATATAATGCCATTAGTTGCTAAGTGCGTAGTCTATGATATCACGTTCGATTAAACAAATATATCGTAAATTACTTTCTCATTAATAATAATATTATGCTAGTAATGAAAATACAACTAGACAACATTTTTCATACGTAAAATAACTGTTTATTCACTTATTAAAGTCGATCAATCAAATGTTATGTGGCTTCAGTTCTTCTTCGAACGTTCTAATAGCTAATGTACTAAGGGTACTGACATCCTCTCATGTGTGTATATAACCTAAGTTCAGTCGGGTTCACTTCCTTGTTTATTTCACTACACACACCAACTTCCTTTACGGCCGGATTCTTGGCAGTTTTGAAATTACCTTCTAAGTCAACTTCCGGGGATCCAACATATTTTAGCGCCAAGTAAAAAGCATACTTTGCTGTCTCCTAAGGTCAATCCAGTATATACTGGTGTTAGAACTGTTCTCTTCTTTATCAAGGTTCAGGATAGATTTTAAACTGGATTCCGACCTAAGAAGTGGTCAAAAATCATGCTGGAATGCGGATTAAGGTTGACCTCAGCGTTCACTTTTATATTTACATACGCTCTGATATTGAGCACCCATATTCACCCATAAATATAGCATAAATCTTAAAACTATATTTTTATCAAATATATAGTATATGTGTGTGTATGTGTGTGTGTATGAAGGGGTGAATATTGATGTAAAGCAATTTATTTTTGTATCTCTATATAGATATATGTAGATATAAATAAATTTGTATAATAAATATATATATATATATATATATATATATATATATATATATTGTTATTTGTATTTCTATTTATAGACACATAAATGCATCGGTATGTATAGTTATCTATTTTCTGTGTACTTCTGTATAAGCTTAATATATATATATATATATATATATATATGTGTGTGTGTGTGTGTGTGTGTGTGTGTGTGTGTGTGTGTGTGTGTGTGTGTATTGATATGAAACAATTTGTTTTGTATCTCTGTGTAGATATATGTATTTGTATATATACATATATATCTAATTTTCTGTGCTTCTGTACATATATATTTATATATATTTGAATATACTTGTATATTTTATCTTTCTGTATATAGTTACATATATATGTGACACTATTTAGCGGTCGCGTGAAAATGAAAAGCGAGAAATAATTAAAGCGAGAAGAAGCTGAAATAATTAAGGCGAGAAGAAGCAGAAATAATGAAGGCGATAAGAAATGGACCAAGAAAGACATCAGCTGAAGGCCACCCACAGAGAGAAAGGGAGAGAAAGGGAAAAGAATAAACCATTAACTATCTTTCGGAGATATCATTTGGTTTTGGGAAAAACGCCTGTTTTATTGTCCAGACGTGAACATGATAAAAGTTTGATATCAGGATAGTTAATTAGCGACAGAATACGAATACGTTCAGTTAACCACCCACATGACGCTGTCAGAAATCTCGATTGATAAAGTGCAGGTGACATTCTGTTAAGATAGAGATTAGGGACCACACTACGTGTCGTGAGAGGTCTGCTCGGGGAAGAGAAAAAAGAAGAAAAAGAAAAAGGAAGATATTTTTTTTTTCTTTGAGCGATAATTGCAAACAACCACGCTGCTGAGCGTTCATTGGCTGAATGGTGGCGTGAGCGGTAGGCGAAGGTAAACATGTGAGATACCAATATGAGAAAGGAAGAATTTGGGAGCACGATTCCCTTAAAATAGAAAGTAATGGACTTCCAAAAATGGAAAGTAATAAATTTTCCTGTCCGAAAACAAAGAAAATCCGGATTTAGAATTATCAAGGAACCTCAAACCTCGACAGGCCCACCCCGGTTTTGGTCGGCGTCCATATAAGCAGAGTCGCAGCGAGTGGACGGCACTAACACAGAAAGCAGTTGGAGAGAGAGACGCAGAGTTGAGCTGTGAGCTCTGAGACCCGCCTCGCAGGAAGCTGACTGAAAGATATCCACGCATTCTGATTTCGACTTCTAACCAAGAACAATTTATTTTTGAAGAACGACTTAGACTCACACCACCAAAACCAGTTTTGCTAATATCGCCTGAAGACACCAAAAACCAGTTTCTTGAAAAACAATTTAAGATGTTAAGACTCGCCTAACAAACACAAAGTGTCACGAATCCATATTAGCGGTTTGCGAGAAAGATGCAGTCCTGTATTCAGCAACCAGATATAAACTATTGTTATTCTTTTTTTTAACACATTTGAACTTTTCGAGTTGTTACTTTATTTTCTTTTACATATACTTGTGTGGTGTTATCTTTGCTCTGATTCGGCTTGCATTGCGGCCCGGCGACTGATTGATTTCGTCTACCTAAGATCAAATCCCAACGTGGGTAGGTTAGACTACAAATCAAAGCAGTTACTTCGGTAACCAGACCTGGGAGGCGAGCTGGAAACGACAAGGCTGATACCGAATCTAACCAGATTCCCATCCGAATTTAGCAAAGGGTTAGAACGTCACATTTGATGCCGCGACCAATACCAAGTCACATTGGTCGTCACGGGACAGAACGGCAACGGGGCAGATAGCACGGGGTGACGTCATATATATATATATATATATATATATATATATATATATATATATATTATTCCTCATCGGTAGCACGACTTGGAGTTTCATGCACAGCGCAATATTCAGGTACTGAGTATAGACTGACCATTATTTAATTTCAATTTTATTAAAAATACCTGGTTATCGCCATGTTGGCACAGGCATATAATATAGGGTGATTATAGTTCTTTTTATTTTGAAAGACATATTTGGCATTGAAAATAAGCGGGATTTTAAATATATACATGTGTGTGTGTGTGTGTGTGTGTATGTGTGTGTGTGTAGAAAACTTACTTTAGAGATGTGAATATTATTTTTAAAAAAACTAACCATAATTTACATTGAAATTAATCTTGATATACGTATTTCAGCAGGTATTTATTTTTATGCCTACATTTAACCATCATTTCACTTGTTTAATAAGCTAGGTCTGTTTTAGTATTTTATGAAAGCTAATTTTTCAATAAAGCATAAATTAGATCTATCACCTTTCCCATTTTAAGATTTTGGTTTTAGCTCCAATACCTCACGAAATAATGGTGACGGACAATATGTATATTTTCTTCATATAAAATTATTATTTTTGGTATTACATCGAGAACTGTTTTATTAACACAAGCACTATATGTGCGATATATATATATATATAGTTATTTTCTGTGCGTAGCTTACATGTGGCACAAGGGCAAAAGTATGGGGCTCCTAATAAGGATCGACTTTACTTTTCAGTCATAACTGATGTAGCGAGACAAGCTTGCTAACTATTTCAACAATGTTCGTTTAAATATTTCGCATAAATTTCGTTGAATTATTTTTTGAGATATGTAAGAAAAACCAATGTGTTAAATACTTTTGCTACCCACTGTATATATATATATATATATATATATATATATATATATATATATATATATATATATATATATATATATGTCAGTGTGTCACTGTGCCACACTTTTTTCAATTAAAGCGACACAACATTCAATAGATCATCTTCTTCTATATAATAAATGCGAATGTCACTGTGTCATACTTTTTCAACTTTACTCCTAGAGGCCTTAGCCCAACATATACTATTTTGGAAAAAGGCCGACTCCATGATCACATTAAAAACATACCACGCCATATCCGGACCCACAATCCTGAAATTTAGAATTCCCAACTTTTCATTACTGAGATTGTTTTTGGCGATTTTGCGTGTGATTTTTTGCGACAGACTTTTTTGTACCATAACATTTTTTTTTATAATTGGGAAATAAATTTGGGAATAATCGAAATTAATTGCGAAAGACAACCATAAAAATAATTGTTTGTACGAATGATTAAATTTAGTAGCAGCAGAAGAATTATCGTCAAACTTTTAAAAGGTAACCTTAAATAGTAAAGCAATACTTAAAAGCAGCGGTCAATTTTGAGTTCTTCTGTAGTTTATTGTTGCCTTTCTTATCGAGCTTAACTCCCACCTGATAAGGCTTTTAAGCTAGTATACACACGCACGCACGCACGCACACACACACACACACATATATATATATATATATATATATATATATATATATATATATATATATATGCATATATAGTTACCCATTCTTATTTAATGTATAAAAGGTATGTGCTTATATACAGGAAGTGAGTGAATACGAGACATAGGCGTTCACACACATTATTTTTTCTTCGCTATTCTTTCACGACATTCTAAATATAGTGATGAGAACCAACTAAAGCTTTATAACAGAATGTGTGTGTGACCGTTAAAAAGACGAACATAA